AGAGGCCCGAAACTGAGCGCAGCTCACCGTCAAGCCCGACTTCAATTTGATCGTGAACACTTCAATTGGACTATTGAGCAATGGAGCTCCATTCTGTTCACTGATGAGAGCAGAATGTGTCTCCATGGCAACGACAGAAGAGACCGAGTATACAGGCGTCCAGGGGAATGGTTCTCGCAATGCTGTTTCGCTGAAACGGATTTTCGTGCCTGGTGGTGGTCGGAGTGGTGGTCTAACAGCTCAAAAGTACGTGGAAAACATTCTTCTCGATTATGTTGTACCTTATGCAGGGTACATAGGAGAAGATTTTCTATTGATTCATGATAATGCTCGGTGCCATACGGCAAGTGTTACTCGCCAGTTTCTTCAAGAGGTGCAAATTGAGACGATGATGTGGCCAGCCCTCAGCCCTGATCTGAATTGCATTGAGCATTTATGGGACGAGCTCAAATGGAGGGTGCGAGCTAGAGATAAGGCTTCATCAAGCATCGTCGAGGTCAAAACTGCGCTAGAGGAAGAATGGAATACTATACCTCAAGATTTTATCAAAAAAATTGATAAAATCAATGGAAAATCGCATGCAAGCCGTTATAAAAGCTAGTATAGTATTGAAAATTTTAATTTTCTTTACTTTTATCAAAAATAATTTTTTTATTCATTATGTTGTTGTTTTCAATTTTCTTCATTTTTTATGCATTTCTGTCAAATTAAATTTTATCAATAAATACTCAATCGATTTTTCTCATTAGGATAGCATTTTTTAGGAGAAAAGATTAGGCTTTCAAACAAAAAAATACAAGAAAATCGGGTAAGCCATTTTCCTAAAAATCGAACCTTTAAACCAATATACGGCTTGAGTCGATTCAGTTGCACGCGAGTATATATATATATATATATATATATATATATATATATATATATATATATATATATATATATATATATATTATAAAATTCTAAGCCGAATCTGTACATTCAATATTTTTTGAAAAACCTTATTGAAAAAGACATTATTATCGATACAGAGGCCGAATCTATAGTTTTTAGAATTTTTGTCTGTCTGTCTGTCTGTTACCGCATCACGGAAAAACCACTAGACGGATTTTGATATAGCTTGTTATCCGGGTCAAGTTATAGGATACTTTTTACCGCGAGAACGCATCTCATTTCTGGAAAAATACAAAAACAGCATTGTAGGAGTATACTCATATGTAAAACCTAAGAGTTTGGTTTTTGGTCAACTGAACGCGGGCGGAGCCGCGGGCAATGCTAGTACTTATATATTATTTGAGTAAAGTTAACAGACTTTTTTGATTAAATATTACCGAATAATTAGTACCCGTTAAACCTACTGACAATTATAACACCTATAATTATTAACTATGAAATAAGTAATTTTCTACTTTGAGTTTAAAACTAATAATTAATCATATTTATCTGACGTAAAAATAAAATTTACATCCAGAGTGATATTACAAATAATATGTAAGTTTATTTATCAGCATTTTAGCTTTACCACGCTGAAGCAAAAGCCAAGGCAGTTTTTGATGAAATTTGGCAAGAACAAAAATAGTATCACGAAGCTATGCCTTATAGCTACCCCTTATCTTCACCCTACAACACAACTACACCATGCAAGCGGATCCGTGGGTAAAAACTAGTTATGTAATAAAATAGAGGACGACCGCCCTTTCATTTTATACGAACTAAAAACTCGTTTCCGTTCTAATTGTAAGTAAAGAACGATAACTAGATAATATTGTACCAGTATAAAGGACAGTCGATAGTTTTTGCAGAACCTGTTTGGTTAACAATGCTAAGTGGCTAGCTAGGTGTGGGCAGGAACTGTCATAGATACTCGGGTAAACATTTGACACCGCGGATGTGGTTTTGTTACTTTGTGATTGATCGGATGTGAATGTGATAGTGTCAATTGTCTTAATTATTATTTTTTTGTTATTTGATAAATTGACTTCTCTATTTTTATTCTTTTTTTTTTAATTTACATATATCGTTGATGTTTAAGCATCAATGGCAATCATTACTGTTCCGAGCATCAAAATTTCACTTTTATCTGTTAAAGTAACCATATTTGGTGTCATAAAAGATATATGTACATATTTAATAACTTGAATTGAAAGTTGAAAGTAAAAAGGTTTCTTTTTCGTTGTATTATAATAACATTTTTACTTAAGTACATTTAACAAATGTCATATAATATATCAAAAAAGTGGAACACCAAATCAATTTTTTTTAAATCATAGTATGTTGCAGCTGAAAATAGCCATGACAAGGCCAGCGTAATGTAAATTTTTAGAAGCATGTAAGAAAATGATATGCCATCACAAATCAAAAATCATAAAACCTAAACTATCTAAGAAATTTATTATTTATACATTATTATATTTTTGGTACAGTTATTAATATTTAATTTTTTATGATCGATATTTACTATGCATTTTATGTTAAAGCTGTGAAATTTGCACGGCGTTGTTTCGAATGTTTGTTGGGTGAGTGCCAACAGCCAGCTAACAACGACAAGGAAAAAATAGCTGTCACGCGTTACGTAACCCACATACACGCTGCGTCAACAATCCATCAGGCATCAATCTCACACAGTTCCTCCTAAAGAACTTTTTTAATAAAAAAAATTAAATAACACCACAAAGTAAAAAAAAGTAACTACAATGTAAGTGCACTTGCAATATATTGAACAAGTAATAAATTTTGGTCAGGACGATAAAATCTGTTTGGTATGTAATGCTTATCGGCAGTCAATGACCTCGGATTCAGGGGAATTATGCCAAAGGTATGCCAAGGTGATAACTTATGTATTTAGTGGCAAGAGGTATTTTAGCTACGTATTCGATGTGGTTTAAAAGTGTGAAAAAAAACATTTAGCACATTTTATTATATCTTCTTCTGAATGTTCTTTGCAATAATGAACATTTCGATACAGAACGTTTGGGTATCGAATGTATGCCAGATGTAACTCTTCAAGATTTCGTGTACACATGTAGTTATTTCATTTTCTGCATAAGATTTTTAGAACGTTTATAGTAAGAATCCCATCAGAACATCTTTATGGAGAGAGCTGTGGTAATAGATTTATGTAAATTATTAAATTTATTGCTAGTTCCGGGCTATTCCTCACCACTTTCACGAGTGATTTCTAGCACAACCAGATGTTCATATCGCTTTCGTTCATTGAAAAGTTTTCAATTAAGTTTAATGTTAAGTTCTGTTATATTCGTTCAGTTTTGTGCCCTATGGATCATAAATGTTATTTTGCATGTTTCGTTTTACCTCTTGATTGTTTGGTTAGTTATTAAAATATTAATTTGCATGACCTCTGCACGACACAGCGCATTTCACAAAATTAATGATTCATAATTGACGAATTGTAAGAGCGTCACGTTTCCTTTTCTGGTGTTCAATAAGGAAAACACTGTGCTAGTGACCTCCTTGCGGAAGAGTGGTTCCAATGTACGGTGCGCTTATGAGTAGTCGGATAAGTTCTCCGCAGACGCATCTCAAGACTCAACTCGACCACGACATTGACCCGTCAGCCACGTACGGCCAATGCACCGGGTTTGTCGCAGGCTCTTTGTTTATATTGCGTTTATATCCTACGAGACTCCGTGCGCGGCGGTCGTTATCCTTAATTCTTTACGCATGCACATCTTACGTTGCCATCTAACGCACAAAAACGGACAGCTAATGAAGCGCAATCAATTGCGTTTAATAAGCTTTTTACAGATGTGGAACTTGTTTCGTTAGCACTGAGTAATTTAAAAAATTATACTTGCTTCTTGAAAATAAATCAGTGTAATTCATTGCAGACGTCTATTTTCCAAGTATTCCATATAATAACACTAAAGTGAAGTTGGCTATTGTTTCCTTATATGGTGTTAAAAGATAGTTGTTTTGCAGTAAATTATTACAATAACCTGAGTGCAAAAAGAATTTCATAACATATGAAATATAAAGCCACCTTTCCCTCGTGAGTTTTTCTTCTTGGCTATTATTTGTTGATAGCAGACAATTTATTTTGAGAGTCTATTCCTAATAACCTAGCCCTACAGTCGAGTGCTTTCGCAAGTCGTTAATGGCATTCCTCTCGAGTAGAGCTCACGGGGTGCGTCACAGCATTCGTCATAGAGCTGCAAACCTTCACGTAAATAGGACCTATTTGATGCATTTTGACGTACATTATGAGGCCATAGTTTCCCTGAAACGCCTGTTTCATGGTGACGCAAAGTCGGACGCCCTCGCTTTTCAGCGGCGCCTGCGTCGGACCCATTTTAGGACATGACTAACGGAAATTCGATTCCTCTCGCTCCGGCCCGTTCCCGCCCGTGGCATGCGGTGTGCACCCGTCTCACTCGCACCAAAAGCTTCAAGAAATCTTTTAATAGTGTCCACGGCCGCGATCTACTTTCAAATGCGGCGGGAAATTCTAAAATATTATGTGAATTTTTCTATATGCGTAAGCTTGTTAAATTCAAATATTTTTTTAATTTATTGTTATTTATACGATTGTAACTGTAGAGTTTAACGTATCCGTTACAAAAAAAATAATTTTATGTAAATTATTTAAAATGATATATATCTCTTACTATATTTAACGGGACTAATATTTTAATTAATTAATGTTTTTGCTTACATTGCGGGAAAGTCGTTTGGTGTTATCTAGCTCATTGATATTCTGAAAGCAGGCGTTATCTAAAAATAGATTCATAATCTGATTTTACAACACTATCTATAATGTTAAGCGGTTATTAAAATAACTGCATGTAATATTAATGAATAATCATGGGGGTATATATTAATATTTGGTCCAGGAAATATAAATTTATAAACATAAACACCATAAATATGACTCATAAACGTGATAAGGATTATAGTTAACATTTTATAGCGATTTATACACGAAATATTTTCCTTTCTAAGTATATATTTACTATAAAACCAGTGTGAATTTGTCGTTTTAAACTGACCTTTTTCTGTTGTTTCTCCCAAGCCGGGTCTAGAAGACCCTCGCGCTCCCATTCCTCTTCCTGTTCCATGTACCCATCCCCGTACTCATAGTTATTTAACACCCCGTTGTCCATCATCATGGTCACCGCACTGACCGTCGATTTCGATGTTCGTTCGAGCCTATGACCGCGAACTTGTGTGTGTTAGTTCGCACCACGCACTGCAACAAGCAGCCGGCCACACGCCCGCTGCAAGAAGACTGGCGCACGAGCGCTACTAGCGGCGGCGTGCGGAACTTCTAATCGTACTCCATTTTACGCGCGCAGCTGTCACTTTAATATATTTATGTCTAATCTGTATTATAAGCTTAATGTTGGCAACATTGCGTTAATAACCGGTCACGCCATCTTGTATTATATTTTAAGAAATAGCTTAAGAAGCCGTGAATAGAGTGAAACAAGGCTTTGTTTACTGTCCATAAATAAATCAATGTGAAGTTTATTACTATAACTATAAAATCTAAATTTAAATGAAAATATATTCGTAACGGAAATATAAATAAAGTACATAATATTGATGGAATGTTAGAGAGAGAGCGAGAGAGTTGGATTTATCCGCGAAATAGATAAAATTTTACTCCATGTACTTTCTTAGATTTATGCAAATATTTTTGACATTATTATATGTAAAAATAAATAAAATTTTGTCTGTTTGTAATGTCGAAATAACCAGGGAATGAATTATCAAGATACATTTCTTTTGATGATTATTATGACAATTAATAATTATCCGATACTAGCATTGCCCGCGGCTCCGCCCGCGTTCAGATGACCAAAAACTAAATTCTTAGGTGTTACATATTAGTATACTCTTACATTGCAGTTTTTGTATTTTTCCTCAGAAATAAGATATTTTCCCGCGGTAAAAAGTATCCTAGGATCGCGCGCTACATCGCCCGGTTTATATAGCTTGAGCAGGCGGTCGAGCGATGCGGGGCAGAGGGGATGGACTCGCCGTAGGCATCTCAATGCTCGCCAAGCATTAAAAATGTTTCGCTACTAATTACTTCTAACAACGATATCTCAAAAACTATTCATCTGATTGATTTAGTGTAAAGAGCAATTTTAATCTGCATTAAATGACTAAGCTAACTAAAATATTCATTTGGATAAGGATTAATACCGAACTAAAGAAAATAACTTTGAAAATAACGTAATGTTTTTAATTAAAAATGTTAACATAAAAGTGGTTATTGTAAGTCAACCGTAAGAGATAGAGATATGCTATCGCGGACTTTTTTGTAGCATTTTTATAGATTTTGAATTCTCTAGTACATTACTTAACTGTATCTTTGCTAGTTTACGCGGCGTTCGCGTGGAAAGTTCCCATTTGGCGAGATTTTTTGCGACCTCTTCAACATTTGTCGCCGTATTTCAGCTAATTTACATAAAAGCATAATAAATTATATACCTAAACCTTCCTCAAGAATTACTCTTTCTATTGTTGAAAACCGTATAAAAATCCGTTCAGTAGTTTTCGAGTTTATCGCGTACAGACAGACAGGAGGACAGACAGGAGGACAGAAAGACGCGGCCGGGGGACTTATTTTTATAATAAGTACTAGCGGACCCGACAGACGTTGTCCTGTCTACACGTCTTTAATTTGAAAATTTCAAACTTTTTTTAATAATTTTTTTGATGAAAATTATTATTCAAATTGTGAATCTAAACCATTCCCAGATCCCCTTGAACACACACAAAAAATTTCATCAAAATCGGTCCAGTCGTTTGAGAGAAGTTCAGTGACATACACACTCACAGAAGAATTATATATATAAAGATGTAAATCAATCAGTAAATAAGTTCAAATATACATATATAAAAACACTAAGACATGTGACTATACGATAGATAAACTTAGCAATCCTTGTGTAGGTATTGGTATTTGACTACTTGCCTATCACAATTTAGGTTATAAAACACAATGATTAATATACTTTTAACAATCAAGGTAATCTTTTATAAATTTATTTTCATAATTTTGACATATACAAGCTTAGAAACGAAAACAGGATTTTAACCAACTACATAAGCACTAGTATTTATTTAAAGTAATGAGTAGATTCTCATCCTCATCCTCCTCAACTGCACTACTCAGTTTGCTGATTGAGTTTTTTGAGCTGATTGAGAAACAATTTGAAGAGTTGCAAATTAAATATTTATATACTATCAACAAAACATAAATATAGATACTTATCATGATAATTATGAAAGATAATTATCAGTGATAGGTAATTGTCGTTTTGCACCCTGTAAAAAAACACAAATTTTAAATTTTTTGTCTCACTTTCTGTTTGTTTGTTCTGGCTAATATCCGAAACGGCTGGACTGATTTTGATTGGACTTTCACTGGCAGATAGTTGATATTATAAGGAGTAACTTAGGCTACTTTTATTTTAGAAAAATAATAAAACTATATTTTCGGATTGTTCGCGGATTAATTTTGTTTTTTACATTACAGACTAAAATATAGTAACTTAATTGATCAAAGGTAAATCAGCGATTTTCTAGTAGAGAAACTGCTCATCGCCAGTAATAACATGCTTTATGTATTTACGAATAAATACCAATGAGTACCTATTGTCTCCCCAGAAACAAATGTGCTTTAAACACTTATGAAATTTAATCTATCAACTAAATGGTACCTATAACTGTTAAAAGTGCGTAGGTATGTATACTAGTAAAATGTTCCCGCTTTGAGAGACGATAGTTATATTGAACATTGATGTTTCAGTCTGATGTTCGATTCAGTATAAGTACTTGGGACTTAATAAGGCTGTTACAAAAATTAATAATAGAAAAACATGGAGATAAATAGGATAAATATAGATGGTCAAATAAAACTATTTCGTAAATACACAAAAGAATTTATTCACCACATAAAATTTCCTTGAATAATCTTGCTCACGCAAAATAACAGGTATAGATATAATTTTGTATTTTTTGGAGATCCCATTTATTATCATACTTTATAGCAACATCCACGATCACAGGAAGGTAAAATTTTGGAATAGAAAAGTTATTAAACCATATAAGTAGCTTGACTTGCCGTTAATATTTGGTGTTTCCACAAATTAAAAACTATTTTATACGTCATAATATAAATATATGAGTATTACACATATTATGGTGAATTGTTCTAAGCTTTCATGCAACACTGACAGAAATTCACTCAAGTTACAGTTCTCCTACAGGGAAAGCGATAATCAAGTTATAAATTATAAGCACTAAGCAGTGCACCCAACGTGATTTACCATAAGCATTAATTACTACGGGAGCTTAATCATTCCATATTCCTATTACTTTAAAAAAACGGTGAACATATAAACAGACGATTCTTTTCTATTTAAACTCTTTTACGGGATGAACTTTAAAAATCTTTACCTATGTAGTTCACCAATTTTACTAATGGACATCTTGTGTAAATTTTATGGTTCTAAACACTGCGGCTTACGAGTAGGTAGGCTGCGCGTTGTCTGTCGATGAGTCAGTGAATGAATTTATTATACCTATAGCGTTTTATTTTAAAAAAATGGTAATAATAATAATAGAATATACTTACATATACATAAGAAAAATATTTATAAATATATAATCCTTTCCAATGAACATTTGAATTTATGAAGCTATAATAAAATATCTACTGATATCACGTGAAATGAAAATTTTTATTATCGCTTCGCCTGTAGGTTAATGAAAGGTAATAGGGTTTTAAGCTTTGAGCAACATTACAACAACGTAGGTATCATTGTACATAATAATTTATATTTTACAATCGCTCAATTGTATATTTCAGAAGTATAAAAAACATCCGCATCATTCAATTTTTTTTGCAGAAGAAAATGTTTTAACTTATGCTACTATATTTTAGTTTCTATTTTAACAGTTTTTTAAATGTTAAGACCCATTTCACATTTTTAAATATATATAAGAAAGTTTCTTAATTTATTATTTTTATTTAGAGGGTTAGAAGAGAAAATGAATATTTTATTTAATTTCATTGCACACAATATGCTTAGTAAATAAATGCTACTAGGATATCAAAGTAAACAAAAGTTAATTTACGAAATGAGCACCTAGATCTTAGTAAGTTATAGGGATTTGGTGTTTTTTTTATTTAGTTTCTACAACAATTATTGTCGGTCTTTTCTAATAATAATGTCGTGTGATTTATTTTCGAAATTTCCCTATTTACTCAAAGACAAAATATCGACGAAAACAACATTTAGCAACAGTTTTAGTAGAAATATCCATTTGTATGTTTAAGCTATTCTTTTTAATTGGATGTTGGTGAACTTACGTTGTTGACTGGGAATATGTACTTATTTAATAACTTAAAGTTTAAGGCTACTATTAACAAAACATACATTAAAAATTTAAATAACCCCCTACGCAAATTAATTGTCATTAAACGATTACACTGGCACACGTGAAGCACTTAATCGAGCAATCATACGCCAAAATCCCAGACATCATTTTGGAAAAGAGCTACTACTCTTACACTGCTGGACCGATATTAACCAAACATAGCTAAGAACCACCGCAAGGAAAACAATTTGTTTCAAATGAAACAAACCGCATGGAAATCGGTCTATCCGGTCGAGAGCTACGATGCCACAGACGGAGACAGGCAGACACACACACACAGACAGACAGACAGAGAGACAGACATCGACGTCAAACTTATAACACCCCTCTTTTTGCGTCGGGGGTTAAAAAGTAGTAATATACATTAATCATATGTCAAATGGGTCAACATTAAAGAAATAAATGTATGCAGGTATCCTAATGCAGATTTCCTATCGGCAAGCCGTGGAACTAACTTTGACCGACACAATAACACTTTAGATGAAAATATCTACAGACAATATAGGAAGTAGATCATATAAGTAAAACGTAGTCTTTGTTCCAAAAACTACCAGTAGGAAAGTCTTATCGCCGCCAATAACATTTGGTTCAGAACTTTTATAACAATTAACAGTTAGGTACACTTTATCTAATATATTGAGTGGAAGATTCTAAAGTACATATATTTTTGTAATTTTTTATATTTATATTATAGGCTGCAGTCTGTTTCTCA